ACCCCACTTACGGGCTCACCACACCTCAGTAAGTGGGTGAGGACAAGGTGCAGAAAAAGGATTGACGGCATCAGGGTATCCGTCCCGGGATCCAACTGCAGTTACCCCTGCCCCCAGTGAAGGTAATACTTGCTACTAGAGTGAGTGGCTAAATCAGAGTGGATCTGATAAAAGCTTCACTAGCACCATTGATTACACAAGAGTTAATCTAGACAGAAGCAGTCCATGGTTGACAGGTATGTATACTTCAAATAGAAAGTATATGAACCCTGGAACCAACAAAGGTGGCAGGTACAACATTACACCTTCAAGCAGCCGAGCCTGTTGGCAACAGACCCAACGCAATCAGGCATAAGTGTACCTACCAACCGAACTAGCTGGCACCACACACACACACACACACACACACACAATACAATACAACAGTGCCCATCCGCAGATGTAACTTCAATTTCGGTGATTTCGGTAGAGACGCCAGGCACCGAAATACAGATCACCCCTAAAAAGGCACTAGCGTATGCACTGTGCATGAACGGAAAGCTGGTCACCTAATTCCACATTGCACCTGAAACCTGGCAGGTCCCGGACACCGAAATTTCAATTCATCTACTCGTAAACTGACAAGTGTCACACAGTACACTGCATGTGTGTTCATCCTTTTATCATTTATTCATACATGTGAACTCGGATGGAGACTCAAGGATTAATTTATAAGAAAGAAAAAGGACCAAGGAACTACAAGTTACACTATACTGTCCACTAACACCACCAGTTACTTGACAGTCAGCTCATGCGATAACATTGCACGACACTGACCGACGGTACTGACGTTCTACAACTAACTGGCTATCAGCTCTAGCACATCTTGAATGCGCACTCCAACAGCCTTCCAACTTGGAAGGTTCTAAGTTATAGAAATAACATAAGGAGGGGAAGGTGAGCGTAACCAAGATAAGCAGTTCGTTGTAGAACGTCAGTACCGCCGGTCAGTGTCGTGTAATGTTATCTCATGAGCTGATTGTTTAGTAACTGGTGGTGTTAGTGGACATTATAGCGTAACTTGTAGTTCCTTGGTCTTTCTCTTTGTATAAATTATTATTATTATTATTATTATTAAACTCGGATGTTGAGCCATAAATAAATGTAGAAGAGAAAAGGACATATGGATACGAGTTAAGAGTAACTCTCCATCACTGTAACATGATACTTTATACAGTCAGAAAGTGCAATAACTAGGCACAAAACTGACAGAGTACTGAAACATTCGACGTCCTGACACCTAGCTTCAACACATCTCCGTAGCGCACCTGATGAGCCATCACGAACCATACGGCAAAACGTACGTCGTGTGAAACAACTTGTTTTGTAGTCAACTAGTCCATCACAATGTCATGCATGAGGAGTACTGTAGGAGTTTGGCTTTCGGCTTGTACAATTCGTTTTCGTAAAGCTTCCCTTTCTTTACTTATCTTTGATATTTATGACCCACCCAAGTTGGGTGGTGTGCTGCTTTGCTGCTTCGAATTGTAGTTAGACCGCTTTGTCAAATATCGTACTGGTCTCGTCATCGTCCAGTAACAATCGACATTCTTTGTTCCTTTGGGACTGTAGCTTTTGCTCGTTTTCGTTGCGCTTGCCTTCCCCTCTTTGGTCTTTCCATAACCTTGAACCTTCCAAGTTGGAAGGCTGTCGGTTAGCGCTACGGAGATGTGTTGAAGCTAGGTGTCAGGACGTCGAATGTTTCAGTACTCTGTCAGTTTTGTGCCTAGTTATTGCACTTTCTGACTGTATAAAGTATCATGTTACAGTGATGGAGAGTTACTCTTAACTCGTATCCATATGTCCTTTTCTCTTCTACATTATTATTATTACAGTCGTCCCTCTCCAGGGGCGTACGCCGCTCGCCTCCAGGAGTGGTTCCCATGCCAACTGATGAACCAACATTCCACACAATTGTATCCCACGGAGTTTCTGCTTATTCTCCTCAGACTGGGTGAAATTTTCATCCACAAGCTGCTATACGATGTCATTGCTACGCATTTTTGATTTTAAAAGACTGAACTTTTCCCCGTTTTATGGATGTTTTGTTCAGCATGACGATTGCGTGCAGTCTTGAAAGCTGCCTAAGTTTCGAATCATCTGGAGCAAACATCACACAGGGCAAGCAGAGGCCACCATTGCACGCCGGTCAAAAGACTACCCAAGGTAACTCCTGTAACAAGGATAGTTGAAAGTGGCGCTGTTTGCCATCCATCTGGACACGCACAGGAAATGAAATCCTTCGCCTTCGGTGGCGCACAATGATTGTCGGTGACGCCGGAAATCTTTTCCGTGTCCGGCAAATGTCGGGGGACTGGATTCCACTGTGGACGTCGACTTTCAGAATATTCCTTCGAACACATATCCCTTCCAACACACTCCCATGTCACTGAAGTAACAACGGTCGCTCTACAGCTTCGCCGACGATTTCTTCCTCAGCGCTGCTCGATGCATGCAGCCTTCGCTTGCAAGTCAGGTGCGTCTCCATTCTCATCTATCTCTTGACCTTCGCCACTAGCACTGGCTACACGCTTTGCCTGCTGCTCAAAATAGCTCTGAATAGAGTGCTGGCCCTCTGGATGTCGATGCTTCATTTTTCTTTTCCACAAAGCGAAAGCATCGTCCAAAACACGACGAACTTCGTCAAAACAAACTGCAAAGGAAATTTGACTCTGAGATCGAGGAATCCGGCGATGTAGAGACTTTGTTGAACCCAGTCCAGTACACTGTGTCCCAGCACCGCTTTCACACCTGGGCTAGTCACAGTCCTCGGACCGTCACCATGGTCACTCGCGTCAGCATGGTCAGGCGCGGACTCCAGGCGCCATGCATGCACTTGCACGTGCACTGCGAGCGCTGGGCCTGAAAAGGCTGGATCCAAAAAAATTCTGTACCAATATCGAATTTTTTTTACTGGTTCCCGGGCATCCCGGGAACCGCCCTATGTACGCCCCTGCTCTCTAATCCGGCACTTTATAATCCAGCACCCTCGATAAACCAGCACAATTTTCAGTAGCCAAAATGTCCTCTTCATGCACATTGCAGCAGTAAATCAGATTTGTTAATCCAGCACCCTCCCTAATCCAGCAGATTTTCGTGGCACAAATGGTGCCGGATTATAGAGGGACCACTGTATTTATTCATATTTTAATAGGGCAGTCCCCACAGACTCAAAGTTCTTACCAGTGTCTGCATCAACTGAACACCGACCACTTGGAACTCTCGGATCGACGTCAGAAAGCTGCGCTGGAGCAGGTACCGAAACTGCGTGACAAGAGGCTTGACGCGGTTACGACTGCGCGTACACACACACACACACACACACATGCACACGCAAAAGTGGAAACACGTGCAAATACGATCATCAAGGGGTTCCGAGTTTTTTTTCTTTATCTCAAGGCTATCATGGCAAGGGTTTGACTGAAGTACTAGTATAGTACAATCTGGTGTAAGCGACCTCTGCGTTTAGCAACCACCTGCTCTTAACCACCGGTTTTCCATGCACCGACAGTTCTACACAGACACTGTGGGACCTGGTTCTAAAGACCACCTGGCTTTAACGACCGCTTTCGCTTGCACCGTGGGGTGGTCGCTGGAACCAGGTTTTACTGTATCTGGGGTGGGGCAGCAGGTCCGGCCGCTTTTTTGCCCAGAATGCAGGATTTTGCACAAAAATAATTTCAAAATTTCCTGCAGGGGACCCCCCCCCCCCCCCCCCCCGAACCCCCCTCCGGCCGGATCACCTCCAACGGCGGTGCTACGCGTCTGAGTATTATTAAATTCTAGGGTCATGTTCGGCTGGCCTCCAGTAATGCTGCCACAGCATGCGGGGAAATATCAGCACAGAAGCATTTGCATTTGATGCAGGGCTGCAGCGGGTAGCGGTTTGGTCGGGTAACGGGTCCGGGTATTTTTATCCGGGTAGCACGGGCACCATATCCGGTATTTTTTGACACAGTTTGTACAGTGAGTGTACACTTGCGCTGCATAGAAAGTGTACAGTAAGCATATAGCCGTGCTTCTTGGTAATACATGCACCGTTGCAACAGCACCGTACTCCAACTACCCAATCGGGTGCACAGGAGCAAATTGCTACCCTTGTACCCGATCAAATTACGGGTAGCACGGGTACCCCACTACTCGTCGACACCCCTGGTTTGATGTCCCCATGACGCCGAAACCCCAGGTCGGCTGACGGCAACAAGCCTCACCATCACTACAGTCCATTCATAAAAAAGATGGGTCCTGGCTCTGGCGAGCTCCCGTATTTGGCGATTTTTCGTGATTTCATCGTACACAGTGCAGTGCTGCGAACTTTGAAATTTGAAAAAGGGTCCAAAAAGGGCACCTGAACTGGGGTTCGAACCGCAGAATGCACTGTTGCAGGCGGGGTCAAACGGCCTGGATTTTGATGGTTTTTCCCAATGCTTTTGGGGCAAAACCTGGCCGAAATCCTATTCTTGCTATGGCTTGCTTTTTGGACAAAAAAACTTCAGAAACATAATTGGAAGAGGATTCCATATGGGATTGCAGAAAAACATTCTAAAAAAACTCAACGTTTGACCCATTTATGGCCAAAAGCTAGAAGTTCATTTTTTTCTGAATGGACTGTAGGCTCACACATGCACTTTTTTGGTCTTTGCCTGTGAGCTGTGATCATTGAAAAAGAAAAACAGACCAGAGGGTATCACCGACAACAATAACAGCAGTGCAGTTGGTAGTGGCACCCAAACTGAGTGGTTTCTGACATCAACAAATTTAAAATTTCACGGTCCGCGTGAGACTTGATTGCAGGCCACGTTTTCCACATCCGCAGGAACTCCGCCACCCTCTTGGATCAAGGCGCAGATGCAGTGCCTAAAGCGGTGGGAGGTGAGTAGATCAGACCCACCACAAAGTGGTCAAAGACCGAAAATCCCATTAACTGTTTCCATGTTTCTGACATCAGCTGGTTGCTTAACTACCAGGTTGTCACGGGCCCGACCTGGTTTTGCCCGTGAACGGCAGAGCATAAGCCTGTATTACGGGGCAGGACCGACGGAAGCAGTTTTGGATTGGTCCGGCAACACCCTAGCCTTTCATACAGTTTGTATATGATATGGCGGGTATACACATGACCTCCTCAGCAGTAACACACACGTTGGAGGTGACCTAAAGGTTGGTCTGGTCATGGCCTGACCAACTGCACCGGTTCCGCCGGGTCAACAAAGGGACATGTACAACATATTTGCAATGGTTCAGCCCCGCTGCCGCTCCCTTACCTCATTGTTTTCAGCATGCTGGTCATCCTGGAGGATACCTGTAGCGGACATTGAAACACACAGTAATGAGGAAAACAGAGGAGGGGGACTGATGGGAGCGGAGGAGAGGGGTAAGTGGAAGGGAGGGTTGGAGAGGGGGAATGGTGCAGAAGGAAGGGGAAAAGGGGAAGGGTAAGGGAGTAGGGTAGGGGAGAGGGTAGGGGAGAGGGGGATGGTAGATAGGGAAGTGGAAGGAGGAAGGGGATAGGGGATAGGAGGAGAGGAGAGAGAGAAGGGGAGGGGGAGGGATGAGAGGGGGGGGGGGAGGGATGAGAGGGGGGGGGGGTGAGGGGAGAGGGCGAGGAGAGAGAAGGGGGTGGTATTGAGGGAAGTGGAAGAAGGAAGGGGTGAGGGAAGAGGGAGGGGTGGTGGTGGTGGTGGAGAAGAGGGGATTATGGAGAGGGAGGGGAAGAGGAAGAGACGGGAGGGGGGGGGGGGTATAAATGGAACCCACGAAGATAACCGCCTAACAGCCCTGAGTGGGCTACACGGATACCACTTCTCGTGCATATTCGGGAATATAGCAGACTTTCGTATATATAACAAATACAGGTACATAGATACATATACACGAATGCAGGATGTGCAGGATGTGCAGGATGCTGTGATGCTGTGATGCTGTGATGCTGTGATGCTGTGATGCTGTGATGCTGTGATGCTGTGATGCTGTGATGCTGTGATGCTGTGAACGAGAATTGCGAGGAGTTTCTTCGCATCACACCGCTCCAACTTCACCTTAAAGGGTTCGTCGTTTTCTAGCTGCCCTTACCGGCTCAGGGTCGGGAAGTGATCCAGAAGCTGCTGCTCTCTCGTGATAGTCATCCGTGATTTCCTGTATGCACACAGTAATAAAAAGGTGAAGTAAATCTTCACTGGTTCGAGGGAAAGACGCAAATGGGAAAAGTCTGAAGAAAAAAATTGACCGTCACCACCAGGGACCCTCGCTTGTAGCCAGCGGTGCTCTACAGGGATGAATTCATCCGGTATCGCATCGCAGTTTGCTACGCCAAATCGATCTACTGCTACTCAAAATCACAGTGACACGCAGAAAACTGCCATACATACATATACAGGCTATCCGTGCCTTTTTGTAGCTGACGCCACAATTGAGATTTTGTATAGCAAAAACTGCTATGCAAAAACCTGACAGTAAATTCATCCCTGCTCTAACCACTGAGCTATGGTGTAGCCGTCATCCCAGCAGAGACCGTTCAACATTTTCTTCAGACTTCGTAACTCACACTTCCTGTGAATCCACACAGGCGGGTGGGACGCAGCCCTCACTGTAACCCACACACTTCACGTACAAACTAGCACGCGGGGAGCCCCAAGTCATAAAATATTGACTGATTTGAGGGAAAGAGACAAACGGGAAAAGTCTGAAGAAAAAATTGACTGTCACCACCAGGACTCGAACCAGGGACCCTCGCTTGTAGCCAGCGATGCTCTAACCACTGAGTTATGGTGTAGCCGTCATCCCAGCAGAGACCATTCAACACCCTCTTCAGACTTCGTAACTCACACTTCCTGTAAAGTCACGGT